TCTGTAATGTAGTATATAGGATCATCTCTAAAATCATGGTCAATAGACTTAAACCCATCTGAAGTTTTGCATTAGCCCAAACCAATCAGCATTCATTCCTGGAAGACAGATTCTTGATAATGTGGTGATAGCTTATGAAGTCATCCACTACCTTAACAATAAAAGAAAAGGAAATTATGCTTATATGGCACTTAAGCTAGATATATCTAAGGCATACGATAGAGTTGAATGGAATATCCTTGCAAAAATTATGCAAAAACTGGGGTTCTGTCACACTTGGACTCAATGGGTATTGAGATGTATGTCTTCAGTCACCTATACTCTTAAAATAAATGGTGAGAAAAAATGTTTTGTTAGACCAAGAGGGGACTTAGGCAAGGGGATCCCCTTTCACCCTATCTCTTTGTTATAATCTCTGAAGGTTTTTCTAGTCTGCTTAAACAGGCCATGAATAATCACAAAATTTCTAGTATGAAAATAGTACCTGCCTGTCTAGCACTGTCTCATTTGTTTTTGAAGATAATACCCTTGTTTTCTATAAAGCTACAAATGAGGAGGCACAATAGGTGATGCAGACTATAAAAGGTGTATGAAGAGCCATCTAGCCAGATGATCAATTCTGAAAAATCTTGTGTGTTCTTTAGCAAGAACATAGAGGAGATTACAAAGACAGGAATTCTGAGGACTCTTGATGTTAAGCAAAGCAAGTACTTGGGCCTACCTATGGCAATTGGCAGACCCAAGAAACAGATATTCAACTATATCAAGGACTAGGTGGTAACACCACGTTGTGCGCGGTGTGATACATGCCCAGTTAACGTTTAGCTAGTAATATTGGGGAGAATGAAAATTAGCGGGATAAAATGGAGCTATATTATACAGGAATATGAGCGAAAATTAGTAGTGCTGGAAAGAAGGCGTAATTATACAGCATTGTAAATACGTAAAGCAAACAAGTTTAGTTTTCATCTTGGATGTTTAGGTCGTGGAAGTTCAGGTGATGAACGCCAAAAGATCATCCAAAAAGTATGAAGTTAAAAATGTTGAATGCAGGATCTTGAGGCTGCCTGATTGTTGAAGGAAGAGGTTGAATGCAACAAATAATTGTTCTTCTGTGTAAATTTGGTGCAATGATGCTGGCAATGTTAATATTCTGTTTGATAGTTAAGAAGAAAGAATAATGTTAATGGTTATAATGAAAAAGGAGGGGTAAAAATTGTTTGCGTAAATAAATGGAATAAAAAATTACTTGCTGTGTGTGCATGATAAAGTTCAGTTGTTGAATATCCAAGCAATTTTTCAGCTTCAATGTCCATGGCCGTTGCATACAGTGAACCAATTCTATCAGAAAGAGAAATTGAAATATATGCTCTGCAAAGGGAAAAGTGATAATAGTTATAGAAAGATGAAAGTGGTTGGATTATGAATTCGAGGATTTATGAATTATGCAAGAGTCTATAAAAAACATGGGCAATAGTTGAACCCGCGTTCACAATGTTGACAGAACATTCGTATTGCAAGTGTGGAATAATGAGGTTCTTCATAATCAGGACATGTCATACGGTACATTTTATGATTTCTAAAGTCTATTTCAGCAGAACCTCTAATCCATGCTGTGCCGAGTTCCTATTAAGTAGGGATAGGAACGGTGTATAATATAGTTATAGTTGAATTAAATACGAGTGGAATAGCATGGAATAAAAAAGTAGTGTGAATTCTCCCAATTTGTTTTGCAGCAGCAATATCAATTATTTGATTATCATGGGGAGGCGGAAGAAGGACATTGGGATCAATATAACCTGTGTTGGTTAGCAGTTGTACTGATTGGGTAGAATTAGCACAAAACCTGATTTATATATAGAAGAATTAGGTAGTGATTTGAATAGTAAAAGTAGATAATAGAAAGTTGCAATCAGTACTAGTCATGTAGGTCTACGGCCTCCTGAATGTCTGGATTTATGAGGATCACAGATGATGGCTAAGCTGACAAGCTAAGATCTGGTGGCAGCAAACAAAAATTGCTATGGGAAATGAAAGCACATAAAAATATTTAGGAAAGACAGAGATATGTTTGCTTACATTTTTCGTCGCCACTTTGATTCTAATAGCAATAAGAATCGGAAAGACTTGATGTTAGGAAGCAATAGTAAGTCCATGCTCCTCTTCAATTTGATCGGAGAGAGTGAGAATTAATGGACGGAGACTGTACAAGGGCAAGAAAAGCAAATGATAACTGGTAATGTATAGTATGGTTGAGAGGCATTGCGGAATTGTGGGGGGAAAAATAGATTGTAACCTTTGATTGGCAATTACATAATCCCTACTGATGGTCAGTTTCCTCGAACAGTTGTTTCTCTTCTAGGGAGGACATGCAGAACCTTTCCTATGATATCTATTGCATTTTTATGTAAGAAAGAATTTAAAATAATCGATAAAACAAGGTTGATGTTGTCAAGGAAAAAACTAATTAAATAAAAGGCAAGTGATGTGTGTACTTATTAAGTGATTAGTATTAGCAATTGAGTCCAACATTGCAAAGGGGTGCAAGCTAAAAGAAAGTGGAAGAGAAGGTCGTTGTAGTTCTTGCACTTGCTGAATCCGTGTTTTTTTGGCAACAACCCAGTAGTATGGGTAATCTCCGAGAGGGATATCAGTAAGAGATGGCCGAACAATTGCGTTTGAGACGTAGTATGTTTTAAAAGGCAAAGTAGGCTGTCAAATTGAGCAAGATAGTCTGCAGGTACATGCATATTGACTCTAAGTCCCTGTATTTTACCATTGTTAGTTGTAGGTAAAAAGTAGATGAAGAAGGGAAAAAAAATCTGGAAAACAAAAACTGTGTCGAACCTGTGGATCAGCAAGTGCATATTGTTGATAATGAGTTTGAGGTCCACCAAAACGCATGACATGTGTTTTTTCAGTAACTTGGACAATTGTTGTCCAATTTAGCAGATTTGGATCAATGGTTAAGAGTGGAACGATAGTATTTTGCATGACGGATAAACCTGCGGGGAGACAGTGCTGTTGATCTGAACAGCTGCTAAAATTTGGAATATTTGTGAAGCTATGAATATTTAGAATCAGATTATGAGCAGTTATTGTACAGAGAAGCAAAACAGTGCATAGAATTAGTTTGGCATGCAGATTCTTCAGGTAAGGACATGGAGGAAGGTAAACTTGAAGGAGGAAAAAGCAAGAGATAATAGAGGAAAGAACTTTACCTTAAAAGCCGGGGTAGTATGGTGATAGGGAGTAAGTCAGTGCGGGAGTCTTTGTCTGTAAGAAGCAGCTTTAGAGAGATGGGAAAAGAAGAAATTTATGAATTGGCTTCTAAAGTGATTGACAGAAATGCAGTGTAGTATAGGAGACAACTAAGATAGAGTGTTTGGTAGCACGTTTTGTAAAGCGATTGATGTAGTTACATCTGTATTCATTGGGAACGGATAAATAATAGGCCAGTGGTGTATGAAGATTCCTGAACGCATACACGTGAAAGTTGAAAGCGTACAACAGTGGGCTTTATGTATATGTTTAGCCGTTCCTTGTTGAGGGTAGCTGCGTGAATAAAGGGCTGTTGAACTGGTTTCATGGGGTTATTAGAAGGGTTACAAAAGGAAAGTAGGGGCGGGTTGTAATTTGGTTGGTAAAAATCCATTATTTAATATTTACTTGAAGTTGTTCTTGGAATTAAGCTAATTCATAGTTAGTGGAAAAAAGTTTGGTTTGCTTCGGGGAATTTTCTTTTTTTTGCTGTACAAAGAGCAGATTACAATATATACGAGGGCTAAATTGTCTTTGTAGTAATAGCAACTTTTTTTCTATAGTATAGCTCTGAGTTGTTTAGACAGAAAGAAATGTTCACGTTGGTATTTAAAAATATAATATGTCATAAGATTATGACTCATGTAAGAAATATTAATTATATGGAATATGCCAGTCATTGTTAAAATCAGATGCAATAGAATAAAAGATTTACTTTAATTTGACAATATACATTTGGAAGTATAATTACGTGAAACGTAATAAGTTTAATAATTACATCTAAGCGAGGCTTAACGCCTATTTGGTTGAAGAAAGAATTAAGAATTAAGTGGGGATTAATCATGTTGTAATGATGATGGGTTGGATTTTTATGAAATACTAATTGACAGTGATGCGGTGAACGTGAAATATATATACATGTGTGTGTGTGTGTGTATTATATTTGATATCATAAACTTTATATTTTGGAATTGGCATAAATTGGATAGGTAAATTATTTCAGATAGTACTTCGTATATTGGATATCATAAAGTTTTATATTTTGGAATTGGCATAATTTGGATAGGCAAATTATTTTCACATAATATTTCATTTGGATTATAAATTTGTTTTATATTTTTAACTTTTTTATCTCAACCATAATAATTATTCTAAATAATGTTGCATTTAAACACAGTGTTCCGAATATAAAATTAATATATAAGTTATCTCATTTTACCAGTAATAATCCTAAATCCTGTATTGAAGGAAAGACAAATTTTGTACATTATTAAAAATGTAATTCGATTTTTCTACTTAATTTTACTTAATGCAATACAATCCAATAATAGTAACAATAGTTTTGTGGAGAAGGATTATGGCCATGTTTGTTATTTTTTATTAAGGAAAAAGATTTTACATGGGGTTTGAGAATTGAATTAACAAAATCGTCAAATACGAAAAATAAAAAAAGAAAAGGGAGATTTAAAAAAAGGGGAAAAAATAAAGAAAAGACAAGAAGTCCAACATAGATGAGGAGCTACAGTCAGATTGTTAAGTGAACCAGTCAAATTGGTCTGAATTTGTATTGCTATTGAGGTCAATTAACATAGATATGCTTAAGGTTAGTTAGGAAAATGAGTCTAAAATCAGATTTCTTGTTGGCATTTGATCATTCTCAAGCTGAATTAACTTGGCAACAGAGTTTGTGTTTTCAGCGAGAATTGAAATTGACACATTTCATTATTTAAGGCATAAAGTACAGCAGTTGGCACTGACGTTATCAATGAAAATAAGGTTGAAGATCAAACTACAAGGCGAGATTATAAATAACATTTGGACTGGTACGTGAATCTATTTTACAAACTGAATACCAAAGATAAGAATGGACATAGTAGTTGTGATACCAAGGGAAAATTTTTTCGGTTCCATCTGTCTTGTAGACCTGCACGGTAAATGAATTCACTGTCTCTGGTATGAATACTAACTTTTCGTTGAGCTGCAAATCATGTTGCAGAACAAAAGAAGACCAGTTGCCGGTGAAAGCCCGGCCATTTATGTTTACTTGAAGAAGTCTATATCCAGCTCTGAGTGTGATCACCGGCGTTGTTGTTTCATTTATGAATACGCTAACGAGCTTTGGAATTTTCTAAAAGTGCAAGGAAACGACAATAGTAAAATATGTAATAAAAGAGCACAAAAAATAGAAGAATGCTACTCACAAATTTGTGCCTGTTGTCTTCATTGTAAACCTGGTAAAAAGATATGGAATTCATAATATCGTGAGTTGTATCTGGTTTGATGGAAGAGCATACATGTTGGTATAGAATATATACGGGCTTGATATCACTTACGATGAAAACCAGTGAGTAAAAAGGGAGAATAAATTTGTTGGTAGCTTTGGCAGGAAACAACACAGCATATGCACTGACCATGAACATTTGCAGAATACTGCAATTGGAGAATATTACTAAGAGGAACTATCCAGCTAAGATAAGTGTGCATTTTATGTTCTGTGAACTGAATAATATCAAATTTTAAGTTTCCGATGTGACGTAGAAGGATATAGCTTTTTTTGTTAAGTACATTATTTCTCTTGAATTCTGTCCATCTAGCTCCAAATTTTTGGTCTGTAACTTCAATAGTCCAACTATCATCTCCTTGAACGATAGTTATACTACTTTTGTTATGCAGTTGCAGCATATAGTGAAAGCTGCTGGCTAGGATATGCAAGCGGAAAGTGTAAGCGATGAAGATATGGAATAGAAATAAATTTTCTGGTCTATATATTTACATGTGGGCGGAAAATTGTTACCTTTTTATGTTGTTTGCACTTGAACAAAAAACAACCTTCAGTAACATTGCTAGTATTAGGTGACTAGTTGGAGGAATTCCCGCTGTGAATGTTTGTTGCCATCGATTTTGATCCAGGCGTAAGAAAATTATTGCAACAATAGTGTTATACATAGGAAAGAGTTTAGTTCTAGGAGTGAATGAATATATGAAAGAAGAAGTTCACTACTTATATGATGTGCAGACTGATTGGAATAAATTTGAAAGTGAACGAATCTATTACTGATATGTATTAAGAAATGCATGTGGTCAACATACAGTGCAGGAAAGGTAGAAAGAAGGACATAGAATAATGTGTGGAACACAGGTTTCTTGAAAGACAATACAGCTGAAATTTGTGCAGGCAGACAATAATAATAAGCATACTCACTTATTTATGAAAGACAGCTGAGCTGAAGTTTATTCAGACTGACACTAATAAATTGTCACATCGATGTATCTTTGAGATTTCATAAGCAAAGAGACAAAAAACAGAGATAAGAAAAAGTGAGTGTTCTTTGAAAGTAAGCTGCTCGTGGATAAAAGCCTGGAAAAAGAGAATTGGATTTTGGTAGTTGGACCATTTTAAAAGGTGTGTATCTGAAAGTTAAAGCAGGTGGAAAACTTGATTTTCTATTTAATGTATACTGCAGATTGAATACAGAATGCTTTGTCCAATTGAAGGCGAGCATGTTTCATTTATATCGATGATAATTTAATCAAATGAAGATGATACATTCCAAGGTAACTGAAATTAGAGTAATTCTTGAAGACGGGAAATATGGGTGTCTAGGAGACAAGAAGCATGGGATTTTTTTTTAAAATAATATAACAGGATATAGCAATAGACATGATAATGCATAGAATTGCCGTGAAAGCACAAGCTAAGCATCAATACTTAAAATAGAAAAAGGCAACATCGAATCACAGGTAGTGAAAACGAGCTGTAAGAAAAGCAGAGTGCAGAGAGAGGTTAAATATGCAACAGGCTATATCCAGGCAAAGAGAAAAGAAGCAGGATGATTCTTCTGGAGTAAGATAACATGTAATCAGAGGTTGCTAAATACTGCTGTGACAAAAGTAGAGTGACAAGACAAGTTTAATATGGAAGGGGTTATGTCCAGGGTAATACAAAACAAGCAGCATCATTGAATAGGAACAAAATAATAAGTCAGCAGGATTAATAGGCTAGTGATCATGTAGCTCTAAGATAATTTGGCTCTTTTAGGCGAACTGGCATCTTCTAGAGGTGATGCAGATGAACAGTCTGCCTCTGACTCTTCAAATCTTTTAGCAAGGCACGATATGAAGCAATCGAAGCGCTGTTTGCAGCTTCATTATAGGTTAAAACATTATCAGGCATTTTTGGGATATCCAGCAATTGAGATTCCAACTGGTCAGTAGTTTCACAATAATATATAATCGTGTAACGCTGCTTTGCCTCAACCAGCTGAGATTGAACAAGTCTAATATGAGCTAGAAAAAGCTTCTGTTTCAGCTCAGCATGAGTTTTTTCTAAGGGAAGTTCAATGTTTTGGTAGTTAAAACACAGATGAAATAGAGTATGAGAATTATAAGTATAGAAAATGACATGAAGGGAAAAAATGTAAATATATATACGCTATTATATGCGCAGATGTTAACCTGAGTGAAGTGATCCATTGCTTCCAATCCGATGAAAGTAAGCAAATTTTCTGCTAGTTCACTGAAAATGGAAGCAGTGATCGTACCTGTTGAATCAGTCAAATCAACGTCGAAGCGACATCTGTATATATTAACAAAAGCTAAGCAAAAGAAACACAGGAAGAAGAGGAAGAACGAGGAAGAAGGAATCTTAAAATGGGAGAGATTAAAAAAAGGCAGGAAAAAGCGATGGAGTGTATAACCAAAGACCTTGGTTCGGCTGGATGCTTTTCTTTGCATGAATTGCATGTAAAAACTACTCTATGCGGAGCTGCTGTAGAGCGGAAGCATTTTTTGCATCCCATGTACCAGAATTTTTGGAAGATGTGCTCAAACGAGAAGAACACTCTGACCCAGGAGCTCTGGTATAAAAATAGGAATGAAAGAGTGAAAAGAGGTAGCTTTGGTAAACGCATATGGAAATGGCAGTAAACTGTATAATGCAGAAAAGTCTTACCTTCTGTGTTGGTTTCAAAAGGATAATTTTAGTTATCTTATGATCTGGTTTAAGAGCGAAATCAGGATTGTACTTCATGTAAGCTGCGTCAGTAACAAGATCATTAAGGAGCTGAGCATTTTTCCTATCCCTGTGTAAAAGGAGAGAAATTTATTAATAATCACAAGCGCTTATGATGAGCATGTTTAAGACAGTGATAAACCAAAAAAGAGTAAGTAGTAACCATTTCTTTAGGTTTCCAGTTTCTTCTATAAGAGGATCAATAAGAATTGCGGAGTCAAACTAGGTAGATAGTGCAATTCATGGGGCAACACATGGCCAGTTGACAAGGGAGAATTAAAGACAAGAAGGAATATGGACAGGAAACAATGAGCATTTAAATGTAAGAGACATATTATACAAATGTTAAACAGCATACTATTGTAAAAGCGAACTTTCAACCTGTGACAAACAACAACAGGTTGATTCTGGATGTTATGTGCCATCTGATAGCCTTCGTTAGTGACAAAATCATCCCATAATGACAAGACAACAGTCTCCAGACTAATATAGAGAAAAGTTTAAAATTTGAAAATGCAGGAAAATGAAAGTTATCATATAATAAGTAAGAAATCTGCAAGGGAAAAGTTACTCTGTGTTAACAATGACGAATTTTTGAACGACTGAATCTTTTCCATTTCTGTTGATATGTTTAACATCCAGAGCTTGAACAACTATACCAAGAACGTCTGGTGCAGAATAATACAATAGCAATGAGAAAAAAATGAGCATGACTGGTGAGTAAATAAAAAAATTACAATGGCGAAGCTCACCAACTGATTTTTCTTTGTCATCCATGAAGCTCACAAGATCATTGAAATCTATACAATTAAACTTAACAGGTAGAATATCGTCATCATCATTTGCCGGTTCAATAACTGTTCGGCTGGTGATAACCCACTGGATCTTCAGGTCAGAAGTTTGATATTTTTCTAGAATTAGCCGTACAATGGCATTTGAATTGAGATATTTTTTATAAATCTGAAGCTGATGGCTGATTTTTGAGATGTCATTATTAAACATAATCCCCTCCACCTGTGAACTCTAGGGATACACAAAATATTGACAAAGTAATGATATGGGAAATTTAAGGTGCAGATTAATGTGTTTTTTTAACAATGCAATATTTAACCAAGTAGTATGAAGAAGTATATATGAATGGCAGCAGAGAGAAGACCTCCGAATCCAGCAAAATAAATTTTTGTTTTTTTGTTGGGGTCATTGCTGATCCAGTTATTTGCTGCTTCTCTTGTACAGTGACTTTGCAGGTCCATCCCTGAGAGCCAGGCAGGACATTTTTAACAAGGATAACATCTTGCATCCTGCAATTTTTTTTGGAAAAAACATAAAAACAATGGGAAATTAGCATGAGCATGTGAATCTTTAAATGACAAAGTAATTAGTGAGCAATGGTATGACTGATCAGACCTTATATATCATATGTCAACGAATCGAAAGATATTATGAAAGACAACATTTCTTGTTTTACAATCAACTTTGAAATCATCAGAAGTACCCAGGCCAATTAAAACTTTAACTGCGGAAGAATTTCTAGATCTAGAAAGAGCAACATATAGCTGGCCGTGAGAAAACACTGGTTCACGGAGTAGATTCCAACATAGTCAAGAGTCTGGCCTTGAGATTTATTGATTGTCATTGCAAAGCATAAACAGACAGGAAACTATGTCCATATGAATGGAATACCATTCTTTTTGGTGTCAGGGGTTTGCAAAGGAATCTTTGGGATGAAGACCTTTTTCCCTTTATAAGGACCAAAGAGAATTTCGACAGAAATTGTGTGTTCAGCCAATTCTCTACAGATTGATCGGGTGCCATTCCGTTGGATTCACATTTCTCAAAAGCATTATAGGACAATTTTGTTTGAGCAAAAATTCATGAGGAAGCAGACCTTTTGGGTTCAAAGAATTTAGAAAGTCCTGATAATCTGCTTGGTATCTCCTATCAATAGTTCTATCACAGCTTATATATCTGTGAAGACATCCAGAAAATTTTGCAATCATCATCTCATTAATTTCATCAACTGAACAATTTTTTGGACAAAGGACACATCTATTTATCGTTTGATAAGGATCACATGAGTACAGATTTAGATCAGGAAATACGGTCCCAAGTAACCTGAAAGATTTTACATGTAATGAGATGAAGTAGTATTTAAAATGGACAGAATGAACTACTAATAATACACTATATGATTATAACCTGTCAAGCAATTCTTGTTTGTTATGATAAGGAATAACCATATGAGGTGGCTGGCATGTTTGAGCATGTTCATCAACAAGTTCGACGCCTTCTCCTACTCTAAGCAAAAAAGCTGAAAATGCTGGATCTAAAGCAGCTCTCATATTTGTTCCTAGCCGAAGCTTACACATATGAGGCCATAAATGTGAATATAAAAGAGTCGATTGCACCAAATCTGGTGAAGGTAGATGTTCAATAACCGGTAGAGTTTGGCGAAAATCGCTGCCAAAAACAATAGTTTTTCCTCTAAAGGGTAGATCAGATTCCATTATATCCGTAAGAAGGCAATAAAACGCCTATATTGCTTCTTTTTTTGCCATTGAAGCCTCATCCCATAAGATTAACTTAGCATTAACAATGAGCTTTGCAACACTGCTCTGTTTACTTAATTGACAAGTTTTTTGTTTTGAAAAATCCAAAGAGATCTTAAACCTTGAGTGTGCAGTTTTACCACCAGGGAGGAGCGATGCCACAACACTAGATATGGCAACTGCAATTGCCACATATCCTTGAGAGCGAAGAGAAGCGAGAAGCACTCGATATAAGAAAGTTTTACCCGTTTCACCTAGACCATCTACAAAGAAAGATTGACCTTTTGAGCTGGATACTGAATCCAGAACTAAATCATATGCATGCCTCTAGTCAGAATTTAGTTTTTGAGCAAGAAGCAGATCTTCTGGATCAATAAGTATGGCTGTTTCACTTTGAATTTCTTTGGTCAGCCGCTCACCATGACCGGAGGTAAAGGAATCTTCAAGGAAATGATAATCATAAGGTTTTCCCCATGTGCTCCAATGTTACATTAATATTCTGAAGAACTTTTCTTTTAATCTCTATCGCCATGCAGTGATGATGTGCTGAACTTCATTTATAATCAGAAGATAGATGCTCTTCAAAAGATTGCCAAAGATGTTTGGAATTTTTTGGACAGCAATAGAATAGAAGCATTGCAAATAGAGACCTTAACAAGTAAGGCATCTAGAAATGAGCAGCTTCCTCTAATGCTTGTTCTATATACGAATCAGATTCAAGCAAGCCTAACTCCAAATAGGCTTCTCTAAAAGAGGCTCTTTTATGACCTCTAACTATAAGTAAGTCATCAAATGATGTTGGTCCTGAAATATGTGTGAGCAAAAGTCTTAAGTAGTATCTTTCTCCTTCCCTAGGCTCAACAGTTACCAGTCTCCTTATGACCGTTCTACGACTTCTATCTGACCATGTTTTTGTTTTTGCTGTCCATACAAAATGCTGTGGAAAATCTCTATATAAACATTTCAAATTTTGAGCCGTAGCATTAATTCTATTCATTTTGAAAAACTCAGTCAGCATAGTCTTTGAAAAATCAATCTTCTTCAAAAGATACCACAAATCTGAACTTTTATCAAACAAAACAAATTGCTAGTTGGGAAGATGAACTTGAACGGTATAAACTGCTGGATTCATTTCTGTTAGGCGAAATTCATATATGCGCCACAAAGCTTCCGGAGGTGAAACCCAGCGTCCTTGCTGGAAACGATTAATTTCGTCAATGGTACCGACAGATTCTTGATCAAGAACGTTAAAGTCGAAAAGATCATGACCTTTAAAAATACATTTATAAAGGTACTTAATGAGCTTAACAGTGGGGCAGATTTCAACATTGATGTGGCAATCAAATAAAGCTAATAAGTATGGATTGTAAGGGATGACCCATTGGTTGTCGAGTTCATGCTTGTGCACCTTTATCTTTCGGCCATCATCTCTTCTTTTATAACATGCATAGTTGTCCTCACCATGAACTGTATAAGGTGCAAAATTCTTAGCATAATGATTTTGCATCTACCGTCTCTCATGCACGAGCTTTGACTATTCTTATAACCACACGGGCCATGAATCATATGCTTAATGATAAGTGAATATAAATACCGATTCTTCTCAGGGTCCGGTATTTCAACACAAACAATTCTGTCATATGATTTAGGATTCAATAGTTTGGAGCCTGATTTAAGAATAAGCAGTAAATGAGCATGTGGAAAGCCTCGTTTTTGGAATTCAATAACATAGACACAGGCTGCAACTTCTCCAAAAATCTGTTTCTTAAGAAGCTCGACCTTTAACATTTCAAACTTAGATCTAAAAATTCTAGCCAGCAAATCAGACCTATCGGTATTGAAGATTTTCCTGGATTTCTTTCCACATCGGATTGCAAGTTATGGTAAGAAATATGTCAGGCTTACCGTACCTCTGAACCAAGGTCATTGCATCAAGATATCTTCTCCTCATGTCTCTTGGCCCGCCAATAAATGAAGCCGGCAATACTATTCGCCGACCGACTCTAGACCCTTGTGTTTGGCCTATTGCAACATTGCCTATAACCCCTTGAAGGATCTCTGTTTTAATTTCAGTTTGCTGCTTCCTATGAAAATCAAGTCTAGATGTTTCAATTTTTATATATGTGCCAACAACAAATTGCTAAAATAATCTCAGACTATGAAGCAGCATAGAATCATTATTGTCTCTTATTTGTAGTCGATAGCAATAGTACTCTAGTAGACACAGTATAATCCTGAGAGGTTTTTTGCCGAGCAACTAAAAGGGGAAAGAGAGAGGTATATTATGACCAAATATATAGAGCATTATAGCAGAAAGAGTATATAAATATAAGTAATAGACATGCCTCTATCTTCAAGGCTGAATAAGTCTATAGGATTCTGGGCAGAAGAGAAATCAACATAAGCTTCCGGGTCAGAAGCATCAGGTTTCTGCCTTTTTGAATATACTCTCTTGATGCCGCAGTGCCAACCAGATTCACCTCTAGAGAACAAAAGAGGATATTGAAGAGGATCATAACATGCATAATACGATTGGACCCTATAACTTGCGCTTGAATGGCTATAAACCTGAATGTGGGGGCTCTTCTCAACTAACTCATCATTTGGTTCGGTCCATATAGCAGCTACTTGAGAGGTAATAGGAAGATTAAAAACACGCTGATCTAGACCAGGATAGCACTTAAGAACTATAGTATGGGTGTCAAGGATTGGAACATCCCTAAGATCTTTAAAAAATCTTCTATATGGATTTTTTTTCCAGGACTGTCATTAGCAGCTTGAGGGTGCTCGACCAAAGCCTATCAGAATTCTGAACTCTGTTTGCGGGATCTTCATCAGTGTCAAAAAAGTATAATTGAACACCCGATGATTTTTCAGAGGAGAGACTAGACCATCCAAGAAGTGATACACCTGGCCTTGGGCTCGAAACATATAATCCCCTCTTGTATTTTTTGTCAGTTCACGATCATATGTACCACCATAAGATGTGAATGCCACATTATTATTATATGTACAGGAGTTCTTCCTAAAGTGCTCGTACTCCTCGTCATTACCAATGAACAGGCATTTAAGAGCATAAGGCATAGCAGGAGCAACAATAGAGATTTTGTGACGCCCAAAAGAAGAAGAAAAGGAAAAATTCTGGTGAACAGTGATATTTGGTGAATCCGGCCGGATTGGCAGGGGTTTTGGAAAAAATTTGATTTCACCACTGCTTTGAATCCAGCCAGCAATCCGGCCGAAAATCCGGCTAGATCTTGGCCGGATTGTGACGTGGCACTTCAATAGCCAGCTTTTACCCATTGTTTTTCCTTCATTCTTATCTTGTATTTTAGCTGATATTTCTCTCATTTCTTCACCTTCTTGGCTGGCACTTTGAGAAGCAAAATAAGAGAGAAAGTTCTTCAATTTCTTGCTCAATTTTGAGATTTCACCGTTAGTTTTGCAATCTATTCTGTACAAGTGCTCATTAAGGAGGTTTAAAACTATTGGTGGAGTTGTTTTGGAGGAGGAAGCACTAAGCTAACAATTTTCTTGAGGTTTGAAGGTAATCTTGTCAAAAACTTCCTATCTACTTTAAGTAATTGTTAATTAGTGGATTAGAAATGTTGTATATGTTTTTTTGTGGATGAGTTTATGGGTTAAGGTAGAGTTATGGTGAATTTCAGATTTTTGGTGAATTTTCTATCTTTAATTGATGCTTAAGCATATGCCATGGATTGATGGCTTTGTGGTATATGAAATGAAACTTGTATATGTAAAATGTGATTTCCTACGAAAATTTCCACTTATGGGTGTAAATTTGAGATTTAGGGTTTCTAATTTGGCTTTGTTTGTGGTTGGTTTTAGAGCTCCTAATTGGTTAAGATTGAAGGGGATATTGTGACCCTAATTAAGAGTGTTTAATAGTGTATGATGTATATGTGTAATTATGGTTGATTGTTGTGGATTTGGTGATTGTTTGTAGGATGGAAAAATAAAGAAGTTAAAGGGAAATGATGTCCAATCTTTGAGAGCCTTTGATTGCTTTGAGTTAGAGTTGAAGGGCTTGAGTTTAAAGCTAGGAAACTGTCTATGATGGATGGATCATGAGCTGTGATTGGTGAGTGATTTCACGACTGTTTCCAAAGTTACTTGTGCACTATTTCTTGCACTGTTTACTCAATTGCATATTATGAGTGCTTGCATGTGTATCATGAAATGATTTGGCTCGAATGAGTGCTCTGAGGTCTTGTGCTTAAAGCCAACGTTCCTACCACTATTTATGCATTCTTTGGAGCATGATGGCTCCTTATTTCTGTTTATCTATTAATTGATCTAATTGAGCATTGGATGTTAAGTACAATGATTTCACTGGCTCACAAGAGTAATAAACTTACATTTGATCACAGAGTCATGCCATCATCTACATGCTTTATTGTGAAATGTATTTGATGGTTGATTTTTACCGGACACTCGCTAAGTTTCTAACTCACCCCAAAATATAATTTTCTCCCCATAGGGATCGAGGCAAAGAAATCTTGTATTAAGTTCTTCATGGAATTGGATGGAATATCTCCTATACAATTTGAATTTACATTTCTCTTGTGTAATAGTCCGGATTGTATGGAAGTTGGGAATTGAAACGAGTGTATGTGTGCGTTCCACGCTTACGATATGTAAATTTGCAGAGTATTTGATGTAATATTTGAGATGTGCATTGTAATTTATTCGAGAATTGTAGTAAGTCCTCGCGAGAGTTGGACAGGCAGTCCACCGAACCCTTTGGTTCACCTTAGGGGGAGGTGTGACTGTCACAGGTGGTATCAAAGCTTAGGTTTCAGATCTCTGTAGAGTATCTAGACTAAAGTTTAGGATACCGGACTGTGGGACTGATTTGAAAATGATAAGTGTAAGATATGACTTGGTTGCTTCCAAGCGTATATCAACCGATTCTAATACTAGCGTATGACATGAGTCGTAAAGTTTGTTAGTTTTGGATTCTTGTATTTGAGTATTCGATACTTTTTATGAGGAAATGCTTGTGAATTTGGAAGAAACATGGCCTAGTATATGATGATGTGAATAGGAATCATAAGTGAGTTTGAGATAGATTGTAATGGCACAGGTTAGAATATAGAGGATTTTGTATTGTATTCGAAACTTAACCAAATGAGGAGATTGAAATGATGAATGCAATCTTGGACTTGTCCAATAAGATTTTGGCTAGGGTTTTGATAGATTATGGTGGTGGCCGGAATTGATGAGAAAACTTCTGATTTTTGTATCCTTCTTCTAGTCTTCTGGTTTGATTAAGATTTGCACCACCCGATTTGTAAGTGTTGAGATTTGAACTATTTGAACTGCCTGAGATCGACTAAGCTGAGCTCACTTGAGATTTGAACCTGTTTAGGCGAGTGTGCTTTTACGTACACTCAATGGACCTGACTTGACTGAATATATGGTATCTCATTTACGCATGAACAAGTAGTTTGATTCGTATATGACCTGTATGTGGACTTGAATACTGAGACTACTTGAGAACGTGAATTGTTAGACATAGGCTAGGCGAGTGTGTTCTTATTCATACTCATACTCCTTGAACTTGAAATAATTGATCCTGCTTTTGAACTTGCATGTTTTATGTGTGGTTGTAGACCGACTACTACTCCTCGGTAGCGGTTGAACTGAACGTCTCTGGCAAGGCATTGCCTGTTGTGTTGTCAAACACCGCCATTCATCTGACGAGGCATGCCTATTGTGTTATCAAGCACTGCCAGGAATGAACTTCTTGAACTGAACCTCTCTGGTGGGGTATTGTCTGTTGTGGTATCAAGCACCGCCATTCTTCTGGCGAAACATGCCTGTTGTGTTATCAAACACCACCAGGGACGAAATCTTGAATCTAAGGCTCTCTGGTGAAATATAGGCGTTGTGCTAGCTTGTTGTGTTATCCAACACCACCAGGGACGAAATCTTGAATCTGAGACTCTCTGGTGAAGTATAGTCATTGTGCTAGCTTATTGTGTTGTACTAGCTTGTTGTATTGGCCATTGTACTAGCTTGTTATGTTGTACTAGTTTGTTGTATTGTCCAGCACCACTTGGGACAAAATCTTGAACCAGAAGCTCTCTGGTGAAATATAGCCGTTGTGCTAGTTTGTTGTATTGTCTAGCACCACCAGAGACAAATTCCTGAGACTTTCTGGTGAAGTATAGCCGTGTGCTATCTTGTTGTGTTGTCCAGCACCACCAGGGGTAAATTTTCGATCTAAGGCTTCGCTATGTCCTGAATTTCTTCCAAATATCTGGGATTTTGAGTCCAACTCAGGGCTAGTTGTTTGAATCGATCCCTTTTGCATGTTTTTGGTTACTCGTTTAGCTATCTTTTGGACTATTACTATTTGATAAGTGGGATTAGAGTGATTCTTAGTACGTGATCGACTTTCGAGGGCTATTTTGATCTGATTAGTACAAGTTGGAATGTCGAGAACAACATTCTTTTAAGGGGGAGTTTGTGACGCCCGAAAGAAGAAGAAAAGGAAAAATTCTGGTGAACACTGATCTTTGGTGAATCCGGCCGGAAATCCGGCCAGTTCTTGGCCGGATATCTGGCCGGATTGGCAGGGATTTTGGAAAAAATTTGATTTCACCACTGCTTTGAATCCGGCTAGATCTTGGCCGAATTGTGACGTGACACTTCAGCAGCCAACTTTGACCGACTGTTTTTCCTTCATTCTTATCTTCTTGTATCTTAACTGATATTTCTCTCATTTCTTCAACTTCTTGGCCGGCACTTTGAGAAGCAAAATAAGAGAGAAAGTTCTTCAATTTCTTGCTCAATCTTGAGATTTCACCGCTAGTTTTGCAATCTATTCCATACAAGTGGCCATTAAAGAGGTTTAAAGCTATTGGTGGAGTTGTTTTGGAGGAGGAAGCATTAAGCTACCAATTTTCTTGAGATTTGAAGGTAATCTTCTCAAGAACTTCCTATCTACTTTAAGTAATTGTTAATTGGTGGATTAGAGATATTGTATATGTTATTTTGTGGATAAGTTTATGGGTTAAGGTAGAGTTATGGTGAATCTCAAATTTTTGGTGAATTTTCTGTCTTTAATTGATGCTTAAGCATATGCCATGGATTGATGGCTTTATGGCATGTGAAATGAAGCTTGTATATGTTAGATATGATTTCCTACGGAAAATTTCCGCTTGTGGGTGTAAATTTGAGATTTAGGGTTTCTAATTTGGCTTTGTTTGTGGTTGGTTTTAGAGCTCCTAATTGGTTAAGATTGAAGGGGGTATTGTGACCCTAATTAAGAGTGTTTAATAGCCTATGATGTATATGTGTAATTGTGGTTGATTGTTGTGGATTTGGTGATTGTTTGTAGAATGGAAAAATAAAAAGTTAAAGGGAAATGGTGTCCAATCTTTGAGAGCCTTTGATTGGTTTGAGTTGAAGTTGAAGGACTTGAGCTTAAAGCTAGGAAACTGTCTATGATGGATGGATCATGAGCTGTGGTTGGTGAGTGATTCCACAACTGTTTCCAAAGTTACTTGTGCACTATTTCTTGCACTGTTTACTCCATTGCATATCATGAGTGTTTGCATGTGTATCATGAAATGATTTGACTCGAATAAGTGCTCTGAGGTCTTGTGCTTAAAACCAACGGTTCCACCACTGTTTATACATTCTTTGGAGCACGATGGCTCCTTATTTCTGTTTATCTGTTAATTGATCTAATTGAGCGTTGGATGTTTAAGTACAATGATTTCACTGGCTCACAAGAACAATAAACTTACATTTGATCACAGAGTCATGCCATCATCTACATGCTTTATTGTGAAATGCATTTGATTGTTGATTTTTACTGGACACTCGTTGAGATTCTAGTTTACCCTAAAATATAATTTTCTCCCCACAGGGCTCGAGGCAAAGGAAGCTTGTATTAAGTTCTTCGTGGAACTGGATGGAATATCTCTTGTACAGTTTGAATTTAGATTTCTCTTGTGTAATAGTCAGGATTGTATGGAAGTTGGGAATTGAAACGAGTGTATGTGCATTCCACGCTTACGATATGTAAATTTGAGTATTTGATGTAATATTTGAGATATGCATTGTAATTTATCCGAGGACTGCAGTGAGTCCCAGCGAGAGTTAGGCATGCAGTCCGCCGAACCCTTTGGTTCGCCTTAGGGAGAGATGGAGCTGTCACAAATTTCACCCTCAGAGCAACAAAAAGAAGGAGATTCTGAAGGGAAGCGTTTAGCAACATAGTGTTTACAATTCGGAGTAGCAGGAAGAATAACAGATTGAGTCGGTATATTTTCCAGCCGAGCTAATCTGGAAGGCACATGCTGGAGATTCCTGCCTGGAAAGATCCGGGATAAATAATAGAAGTATATAGAAATGGCTAACGGGAATGATTATTAATAGGAGGAGGCAGGCGGTTTCTTCAAAACACCGAGCATGTAGGATTTCTTTATAAAAACTTACAAGGTTAAAGGATTAACCATGGTACAAAAATAAAACAGAGGTGACATACATATAAATATAATATAAAAGGCTTCCGCTGACAATGGGAAACAGGCAAATTGTGAAGTGATACAAAGAGAACTTTAAAATCGAGGACTGGCTCAGAGTAAAAATGCGCGAAAGGTATAGAGCAGAAAGGCACACACATTTGTATGCTATACAAGATCAGTCTGATAGGACAAAACAGGAGGTGAAATTCAACGAGTTCTAAATAGGCCAATAAAACAAGCTAAAAATAAATAGATGATGTAGGAAGGGTGACAAAAAAAACTCATGAATATCTATTTGAGGGCTAAGCAAATTGTAAGTATACCTTGAGAAAGTAGGGGGGAACGTAGATTGGTGCAAGACAAGAGTCTGAAGTAACATATTCTGAACAATTAATGAGCAAACTTTCCGTAGGGTCATTTAAAGAGGAGGAAGATGGCAGGGAACTATCCAGATTGTCAACCAAAACAACACCAGTCTGAGTATAACCTAATGGAGTCCTAGTAAAATAATCTCGGGTATTCTGGGTAGGCCTCTGAAAACGAACGGTTTCAGCAGAAGAAGGCACAGTAGCGGCTCTCTTTTTAGCAGCGTCCCATTCTCGGCGGCGACGGAGCAGGTCAGCTTTCTGGCTATGAGGCATTTCTGCATACCTTTTACGCCTCTTAGCATTTTTATCCATTCCTGGGTAATGTGGACTTGAAAGGTACCCAAAAAGAAAACCATGAAGGTATTTCTTTGCAAGGTAACACGCAAAAGGTAGTATGAGTCGTGCACAAGGGACCAGGAGATCACGCATTACAAGTTAAGCATGGAAGAAGAAACCAAACATAATATGTAATCTAATGGAACAAGCTAAGAAGCAAGAGAAGGGGGGAGGAAGGAGGGCTGGAGCAAACAGAGAAGTAACCGATTACAATAACAATAAGAATAAAAAAAGTACAATAGACAAAAGTAAGTAGACAGGAAATTACCTGTAGCAATTGACAGGGGGAACCTGAAGAACAAGGCAGAGGAACTAGCTGAAATAGGTCTGCATAAGCAAAAGGAGGGGAAAGTAAAAAAAAAATGTGGGAAAGAAATCGCACGAAAGCTGAGAAAAGTTGCATAAAGTAGCAAGCAACAATAAGCAATTCACAGCAAAAGGAAGCAAAGAAATAGTGTAACTGTAGCATACAAAAAGGCATATGGGGAAAATTAGAGAAACCAAAAGGGGAAAACATACTGGTTCAGCAAAAATCCAGAGAGAGGGGGTCAGTGCAGAGCAAAACTGGGGAGGACTAATGGACAACCATCGTGGGCCAAAGGAAAATGCAAAAGACAAATCGGAGACCAGAGGGCGAAGAAGAGTAGGAAAGGAGCAGGAGAGGTTACCTGGCGCAGCGGCAAGGGCAAAAGGGGTGAGAAGCAAAAGCAGCAAAATAGGAACGAAAGAGCAAATGGTTGATTGTGGGGAGAGGTAAGGAGAAGCAACAACATGGGGCATCATGGCAGCTACCTAATCGGTCAAGAGACAAGAGGAGAGAGCAGGTGGAGGGGGTGTGTAAGGGGCGAAGGGAAACAGTAATTCCTGAGGGAAAGGAGGTGTAGGGTGGGGGAGAAAGGGGGGAGAAAGATGTGTGGGCAAAGCAATCTAGCAGGGAAAAAAAAGAAAAAGAAGGAGAAGAAAACACGGGAAAATAATTTTCGGAGGAAAAAGGGAGGCGTGGAGAAAATAATTTTATGAGTGGAAAGAGAAGCAATTGGAGGTGGAGGAAGGAAGCAAGAAACGAAATGAAGGAGAGAAGCAAGTTGAGCCGGTACACAGGAGCTGGACGAGTGAGCAGAGCGAGGCCCCATGGGCTCAAGCTGACGGGCGCAGGAAAGAACTGTACTGGCAAACAGGGCCAAAGAAAGATGGGTCTTCCAAGCAGGAAGACGTGCAAGAGGAGAAAGTAAATAGTATGGTGTGAGGGGGAGAAAGCTCAGGATGTGCAGGTAACAGCATCAGCAAGAGGAGAAGGGAAAAAATGAGTGCAGAAAGAAGAGTGGAGAAGGAGAAAAGCTCCAAGTGGGTGGAGCCGGTATAGAGGAGACTGTCAACCAACCGCCTGCAGAGCAGAAGGAAACAGTGCTAGAGAGGGGGAGAGACAGAAGCACGACCACGCAAGGCGGAGGAAGGATCGGGTGCAACGAGAATACTCGGCAACCAACCTGAAAGCGTCATGCGGAGGGCGACGACGTCTGACGTGGATCCCGGGCGTTCACCCTTAGTCTATATGGTTAATAAAGTGGTGAACAGGCTGCAAGGGTTGAAGAAAAGATTGTTGAGTCAGGCAGGGAAAGAAGTATGGTTGATGTCAGTGATTTTGACCATGCTTGCATATGCAATGGCTTGCTGCAAGTTACTTCTGTGTATGGATATCTGCAAGGAGATGGCAATATTCTGGCTGGGAGAATTCAAAAGAGAAAAAAAAAAAAAGTACACTGGATTAGGTGGGAAAAAATGACAGGTAAAAGGATAGGAGGTTGGACTTCAGAGATTTGCAGGAATTTAACAAAGCAATGCTAGCAAGACAACTACGAACGCTAACCAAACCAAACCTGATGATGAGCAAAACTTTGAGAGGAAGACATTTTAGGGGCGAATCAATATGGAAAATGAAAGCAAAAGGAAGTGACTCATGGATGTGGAGATGCATACTCAGTGCAAGAGATCTACTGGAAAGAGGAGCTAGAAAAAAAGTACGGGATGAGCACACCATTGATATATGGCATGACAAGTGCATACTGGACAGAGGTAAAGGAAAGATAATATCTTAAAACCACCAAATTGCCCAATTCAAAAAGTTCATAAGCTGATAAAAGATGGAAGACGGGATATGGACTTGATACATAGGGTACTGAATGAAGAAGACTATTGGAAAATTGCCAATATCCCAGTCAACATTGGTGATGGCAAAGATAGGATGGTATGGCCTTATTCAGCATCAGGAGACTATACAGTGAAAACAGGATACACGCTAGTAGAAGAAATAAGAGGGAAAGAAGATCAATGGCACAGCTAGAGGAAAACAACAGTAGAAATGAGAAAATACTGAAGCTTGGAAGTTCCTCTGGAGTTTAAATATGAAGCACAATCTAAAGCACTTTATATGGAAGTGTCTTAACAGAATTTTACCTATTAATGAGCTGATAAGGAGCAGAATAGGAAGAGGGGATGACAAATGTGTCTGCTGCGTGGGATGGAACAGAAACTCTAGAGCACATGTTTTTCTTTTGCAAGCATGCTGACACGATATGGAGAGTTGCACAATTAAGCGGGATTGATTATGTGAATTTAGACAGAACTTCTGGTTGTGATGGAATAGTCTTATACAGGCAAAGTTGAGGAATGAAGGGAGAGAACATATTGCACTAACAGTTAATATTCTATAGCACATTTGGAAATCAAGGAACTAGATTCAATTTAATAACGAAAGGATAGGTCCAGGAATAATTGTGAACAAAGCTGTGCAAGAGTAGCAGGAGTACCAAATGGTGTAATAGGTAAAGGAAAATGAAAAGGAAACAGAAGATAGAAACCAAACTACAACTATTGGATGGCAACCACCGCAAAATGATGGTGTTAAGCTGAATAATAATGCTGCACTTTGACACAAAGAAAAAGACAGCTGGCTGGGGAATTGGAGCAAGAAAGGAAGATGGTTCAATCATGAAAGCATGAGCAGGACCTGGCAGAAGGTGGTAGTGAGGGAGCCACTGGTGGACTGCAGTCATCAAATCAAAAAGAGGAAAATTGAAATCCAATCAGATTGTAAGCTAATAGTGGAAAAGATTGAGCAGGAGAGCGCTGAAGATGCACGAATTGGTACAATTGTAGAGAACATTAAACAGCTAAGGAAACTCCTGAAAATTTCACTTTGTTGAAAGTGAAGGTAACTATAATATATGTTAGTCAGAACTTAGCAAAATTTGCTATAATCTTGGTCAGTGAAATCACTTGAAAGGATTCCTTCCCTCTTTGGTTAGATTAGCCAGAGATGATCCGGAAGCAGTTGCTCCAGTCCTGTAAAATATTATTCAGATGCAATATATCTACTGTTGTCGTTTGGTAAAAAAAAAAAAAAAAAAAAAAAATTAGACACCTTCTATTCAATTGATAAATCTTTTGCTAATTTAATTCAAACAGCCACTAGAAAGGAGTGGTAGACTAATAATATATTATGAGACCCTAGAGTATGAATCACGTCGCGGGGCTTTTTTTTTTTTTCCTTTAGAAGGAGTGGTACACCTGACATCCGCATTAAACATAAACACTATCGTATCATCTTTCTTCTTTTTTTTTTTGATTTCTCTCTCTATTTGCTATGCTATAGGCCTAAAATCATGCCAATTTTTAGTGGATTCGGAGTTTCACAAATTGAGTTGTTGCTCAATTCAAATTAGTTGTGTAATTCTTACAGTATCTTGTATAACCTAGTACAATTTGGATATAAAACTTAATTTTGTAACTTATACAATTAAGTTTGTATATAAAAAAAAAAAGCATAATTACATCGAAATTATATGAATTTACAAATTTATGTAATCAGTTTCAACTGAAACTTATGAGCTTTCTTCTTTGGCTCTCCTTTTCATTTTCCAACCATCTCTCTAACCTTACTAGGCCCTTCACTCAAACGCATGCACCAAAAAAGAAAAAAAAAAAAGAAAAAAAGAAAAAATGGTACGAGCAGCGTTTGTTAATCAGCCAAACCTGTGAATGTCACCCCAAGTCACGTTTGTCCCCAAACGTGACTAAAATTTCATCATGGTACTGTTTCTTCGTTTGAGTGGAAGCTGGACTGTGGATTGTTCGTATATGAGGAGTTGCCTTTTCAAAAGTGCCTTGTCTCTGTTGGCCATTTTTGTCCGATGCATACTATCGGCCAGAGTCATTTTCCTTCTCAAAAACAGCGGAGGTTGCAAATGAAACAAACTAGGGATGGCAACGGGGAGGGGGACCCTCCCCATCCCCCGCCCCACTGCCTACAAACTTCCCTGCCCTCGCCCATCCCCCGTCCCCCGCTCCCCCCGTCCCACTTCTCCCGGAGTGTTCCCACGGGACTAATAAAAATTTATTATATAATTTTATTATGATTAAATTTTAATAAATAATCAAGTACTAAAATATTAATACATCATTAAATTATTATTCATTGTAATTTTATAATTGAAATTTATAAAAACAATCATAAAAAATTATTTGAATACAATCCAACATGATGAAATAAATATAACTAAAGTAGTCAAATTTTCACTTTTGACACAAATACAATCACTAATTCATTATTGTGCTTGTACTTTTTTAAGAAAAAATATTATTGTATTAAGTGTAATTAGAGATTTAATATAAATATATTAGTAAATTTAGTATAATCAATTAATAATTTGTATTAGTATATATATAATTATTAGTATAATTAATAATATTAATTATATTATATATATTAATAAATATTATATAATACATATAACTAATATTATTATTATTATAAGTTTATAATTAATTAAATTATATATTATATAATTATATATATTTTTTTATATATTTACTTTTTAAACCCCCCCCCCCCCCCCCCGGCGGCGGGCGGGTGAACTCTGTTGGCCACTTGACAACTTGATGTTAAATTATTTTTGACTTGAACCATTCCTTGTCGATTTTCGTGGCTTGAGCAATTTGATCTACTCTGACAGAGGATAATAGAATAATATAAAGAAACCAACCACGACTTTCTGCAACTGACAAGAGATTGGGAATTGTGACCCAATGAATTAATTAGGTTTACGAGGACTCAATCATTAGAATGTATCAGGCTGTGATAGTGTGATAGTGTGTATAAAATTTATTTCTATCATATGATTATATTTTGTAATATATACAAGATTTACTTTTATTATATAGGTACTGTAAAATTTAGTTTCAGAAAATTAGTAACGAAAATAATATGGTTCTTAACAATCCAATAAAAATAATAACAAATCAAATAAATCAAACAAAAAAATACGAAATTTTACGTGATTCAGTATATAAAAGAAAAAGAGTATAAAACCTAAACAATAATTTCCAAGCCGAAAAGTCACCTAAAACTGAAACACAAAAAAAATCTAAATAGCACAAATTACTTAACGGTTTAAAGGCCCATAACTTGTTTTTTCAGTTTAATGCCTAATTAAAACTCCTTTCAAAATGAAGCATGAATCTCCTAAAACTCTCTTGAACCGGTGAATGCTTGAGTTGGTGCCTTTAACACACTTAAATTCAAATCCATTATATTTACAACCACCACAATGATAGATTTTTTTTATAACCTTGCGATGTGGAGACAGAGACAAATTCAGAGGAAAGAATACTCATCCATCACCAATCAATGAAGCTTCAGAGTATCACCTCAAATTTCATCCCTTGCTTCTTGGTTGCAGCCATTCTCTTGACTCTAATCAAAGAATTGAAAAGATCCCAGAAAACCAAAACCATCCAGAAATTGCCTCCAGGTCCATGGAAGCTGCCATTTATTGGATGTATGCATCATTTGATAGGTTCACTTCCACATCGCTGCCTGAAAAACTTAGCTCAAAAATATGGATCCCTGATGCATCTGCAGCTTGGTGAAGTTTCACTCATCATTGTTACATCACCAAACTTAGCGAAAGAGATCATGAAAACGCACGATCTTTCTTTCGCGACCAGGCCTGAACTTCTTGCGTTCAAGATCATCTGCTATGATACTAAAGATATTGCATTTTCGCCCTATGGTGATTATTGGAGACAAATGCGAAAAATTAGCGTATTGGAGCTTCTTAGTGCCAAAAGTGTCCGTCCTTCGAAAATATTAGGCAGGATGAGGTTTTGCACCTGGTTGAAGCAATAAGGCCTTTAGCAGGTAAGAAGGTGAATTTAACTGAACAAGTTTTCTCATATGCAAGTTCCATGGTCTGTAGAGCAGCATTTGGTCAAGTTTCCAAAGAAGATCAATACGAATTCGTACAATTAATGAAGCAAGTGGCAGCTTTAGCAGGAGGTTTTGATATTGCTGATCTGTTTCCTTCTTACAAAATTCTTCATGTCCTGACTGGAATGAAGCCTAAATTGCTAAAGATCCACCACAAAATGGACAGTATATTTGAAAAGTTAATCGAGGAGCACATCAAGAACCAGACTAGGAACAAGAAGTTGGTTGCTGATTCTAATCAAGAAGATCTTATTGATGTTCTACTGCGAATTAGAGATAGTGGGAACCTTCAGTTTCCAATCACCAATAACAATATCAAAGCTATCATCTTTGTAAGTCATACTACGGACCCTGAATTCTTTCCTTCTCTGCTTACTTTCTTTGGGTACTAAGTTATTACTATAATGAACAATGTTGCATTACTAATGCAGGATATGTTTGCTGCTGGAACTGAAACTTCGTCTTCAACCGTTGAATGGGCTATGTCAGAGATGATCAGAAATCCAGATGTGATGGCCAAGGCGCAGAGAGAAATCAGGCAATCCTTCAAGGGAAAGCAGAACATAGATGAGGCTGATGTTCAAGGATTGAGATACCTGAAGTTAGTGATCAAAGAAACTCTAAGACTACACCCTCCTTTCCCTTTGCTCCTGCCTAGAGAATGCAGGGAGCAATGTGAACTGAATGGATATACTATACCAATCAAAACAAAGGTCATGATTAATTTCTGGGCAATTGGAAGGGATCCAGAGCATTGGAGTGATCCGGAGAGCTTTGTACCAGAGAGATTTGATAACAACCCGGTTGATTTCACAGGAAATCACTTTGAGTTTGTGCCATTTGGTGCAGGAAGGAGGATTTGCCCAGGAATGTCATTTGCTTTGGCCAATGTTGAGCTTCCATTGGCTCTACTGCTTTTGTCATTTCAACTGGAGACTCCCGGATGGTATGAAGTCAAGAGAATTGGACATGTTAGAGAATAATGGAATAACAGCAACAAGGAAAAATAACCTTTATTTGGTCCCTTCCTTGTATGATCCTTCCACTGATTTGGAATAAACAGTTATACGTGCAGCACTTCTTTCAGGGCCAAAGGGGGATGTGATCAAAAATTGTTGAAAGCTTTGAGGATATTAAGACACTAAATAAGCAATGCCTAGTTCTTCAATTGATATGCCATTTTAGCAAATTATCTAATTGGCACTTGAACTGTTAAATTTCTATACTTTTGGGTCCTCAACTATTAATTGTATCACATTGCTACTCAATTTTAGAAAACAGCTTTTTATCCAATTTGTATATGTTTTTAGCCAATCCATAAATTTTAGTTGTAAAAAGTGAAAGAACCTGCCTGGTAGTGTATACGCTATCATTAAACAAAGATTAGTTTATAGTTTTAATCTTCTTTTACCTCCAGCAATTTTCAGAGACAGCCAATCACTATGCAACTATTGAAATTTGACCAAAATACACCCATGGATTCTATTTTGCACAGATTGCAAATTCAGCCTTGACTTCAATGAATCTTGCTAGATGAGAGTAGGTGTAAAGTCAAAAGACAGTAATTCTACCATTGGTATAAAAATTCTTTCACCAAATATATAGAATTTTATGCAAATTATCTTGTGAAGTATGAAAAGTTCAAATTGATTAGAAATTCGGCACAAATATTTGCAAATTTCCATGGCAGAACTAAGCACTACCTCGACTGTTACTAGCTATTTCAAGGCCCAATTGATGTCAAATTTTCCATTATTGTTGTTGCAGTAAACAGTTCTGTTAAAAGGTGTCCAGTTACATAATTTACCAAAGTCTAATTTGTGCTCAATCAAGAAACTCCAAATTGGGGCTCTTCCATTTTACTATACTGGAAAAAAAAACTTTTATTTTGGCTTGTTCACTGGTCCTATTGCTCTTTTGGTCAGCCTAGACACCTAAAACTGGCAAGAGAGCGAAAAACATACACTTTAATTAAGTTCAACAGTTGGGGTCCAAAGTATACAATTTGAAAAATTCAAGGGCCGTTAAGGTAATTTGACCATATATTTATTCATATATTCTTAAACTTTGGATGTTTTGGACGCCAAGAAAAAAAAAAACAAACAAACAAACAAACAAAGCTTTGGTTTTTTTCTGGACTTAACCCAGCAAGCGACCAGCAGTATAAATGGTTCTTCTGACCGTTCCCGATTCAACCGGTTCAAATAACCGGCTCACCAATTTATTATTTCTAAAATATCATCCCCATCACAGAATCAGTAACGTCTCCATCATATGATATCATCACCTTACCAGATCCCTACTCCAATCTGTCAAATTTTTGAAACCTTAATTTTAATTATTCTCCTCCCAACTCATATAGAGAATGTGAGTTTGTGAAAAATTGGAGACAACAATTTCTTCATAAAACGAACAAAAGAAAAATTAAAAAACCAAAAAATTCACAATTCAAGAAAGAAAAAACTTCAAATAAAAAAGAAAACATCAACCAGAAAAAAGGAAAAAAAATGCGATACATGCAAAAAATGAAAGAACTTCAAACAAAAGATATACACAAAATAAAAGGAAAAAATATCTGCATTTGTCGATATTTCGCAGCTTCGGTTCTCCATGACATTGTTTACCGAAGCGATTCTAGATGAAACATCCATAACCAAACATAAAGGACGGTTAACTCATGAAAGATTTATCATTAAAGCAATAGAATTACCTATTTTTCTCTAATGTAAACAAAGAATGAAAAGTGTGAATCCTGAATGAACTTTCTATCTTCATGCTAATCAAAATTCGACTTCAATATTGGTTCACATTCAGCTCGACCTTCATCATCTGCTGTAAATAAACCTGCTTCCTAGAATTTAAGAACAGGAAGATAGAAAGTTCTCTGATTCTACCCACTAGAAGATGCTTTCTGATAGAGAAATTGGGAACAGTATCATGAACATGCTCTAGATTTAAGGATCACTACTGTCTTCTTTCAGCTTGAATTCCACTGGCCCAAAATCCCATTCAGATGGAGACCAGGGTGGAGAGTCCAACCATATTTGACTAGGAGAGGATGGAAATGTTGAACTCTGAAAAAGATCAGAGTAATCAGACATGGGGATCTCTACTGGTTCTGGATGAGAGCATTCACTGTCTGTATCAATTTCACTCTGGACCTCAAGCACAAAGATAAAATTGATATGTGTCAAATGCTTTAACCATTGGGATTCAGTCCATACGGTAGTGTAACTGAGAAAGATGAAGGACCATTACCTTTGTAGATTTGATCTTCCGAGTTTCGTGGGGAACTGCATCAGAGATAATACTATCAACATATCCAGAAAAATGTGACTCTTATCACATATAGCAACAAAATGAATATACTTGTGTTCCATTCACTAATAAAGACAGTATTATAACGCCTGAGAGGTTGACTTATTAGGCAAGTCTAGGACATCTCATTCAACATAATGTCCGGGTTTCACTGGCAAAAGGTACAATAAAGCATGTTATCAGCTAAATTTTGGCAAGAAGACTGGGATGGGGCTTTTTTTTAGAACCTGTCAACAAATTAAGAAAGGGAATCATGAACAGTAAACAGCTTTTCACTACTTGTAATTCAGCTAAATCCATCTCTTACTTGTACGGAAAGCCAGTTATGTTAAGCAGCTTCACTTTCAGGGGTAAAGAGTCATTCATATTTCATATTTTATCTGCCTAACTACCGGCTCCATGCAGGGGTATGCAAAATTAGAAACATAAGATGGATGCTTTCTTCAGCTGCATGGTTCTAACAATAATATCCAAAACTGTTGCCCGACATTAACTTCTGTCAACCAAAAGGTAGCAACCAATTTCAGCCATAACCTCCCCCATTTGAGACCGTAAATCATATAATAAATGTCCAGCATATAGTTTTCACCAACCTTTTGTTCAAATTTTATCTGATTGAAGACATCCTTAACAGCCAATAGATAATGTACATTACAGTGCTGTGGACGAAAAATTCTAGTCTCCAAGGGCCATTTACATGTGCCACTCACCAGTATGCCAATCCAATTATTGACAACATCAGATTTACACTTGCTGATTTTTACCAATCAAAATATTAATCTAACACCATAAAGGAATTGATTTGATTAAGTGGCAGTACATTTGTGTTGCATAAAGTAGTCATGTGAAAGATATCACAATTAGACAAGTCAAACTATGAAACTTACCACATCCTGGCAACAGCGTGTCCCAGAAAGATGCTCTCATGGCTGCCTTCTGAGACTCAATGCACTTTTTATGATCATGCAGAAACATCTCCTCTGACATGTTAGGCTCTTCTTTTGGTGTACTTTTTCTCTTCAATGATGCTTCATGATGAACAGATGACTTGTTTGTAATGTCACCGAGGGCTTTACGATTCCCAAACCCTGTACCAATTTTCTTTTTTTCCAGTTTGAAGCCAGTTGATTTACCCTTAACAGACCCTACAAAATAATTTAATTCGATTGAGTATTAAAATAGCCTGGTCTGAAATAGCTACACCGTCACCTACATTTACAAAATGCGGAAGATTTAATGTCCAAAGATCTTAAACTGCAATGATTAAAATTTCAATTGTAATTTCCTATGGTGCGTGGACTATGGCTTCAGCATCGGGCAAGAGCATGTATCCAGGTGTCAAGTCCGCTGATCTCCTAAAATACAGGATACCGGTATACTGCTGAAAGATAATACAATGGTTCATGCATATGATTCAGAACAAATTATTGTTGTTACACACACAGACATAGCAGAGAAAGCATTCTCTATCTACTGTGATATATAACGCGGTTGTTATAGCTAATAGGTTGTTTAATGAACCGAAATGACACACACTTGGGAAGAAACACAAAAACATGCAGTACTATAGTGTCATCCATTAGTTCTTATACTATGAGTGAGCTATAAAATTATCATTAAGCTCTCAAGTTGTTCTAAGTAGGGACGACTAGGGTCCAAGAACCCCATATTGAGTCAAAGCACATCCGTGCACCAAGCCAATCTTTGACCAGATCCTATACACATCTCATACAAAATCATATCACGTAGGTATGGCTAACTGTGGTTCGGATCAAGTGTCCATGTAAAAAAGCTCAACTTTATGCTGCTCATGAAAAGACAGACTCAATCCCCTCCTAAGCATCATCTGTTTTTACACTATTAGACTGCTCAATGCTGAAGCTTATCAACAAGATTCTTTCAACCGAAACTTATCTCTTACTGAAGAAGGGTAGATATACAAATGAAAGGAATTCTACCTTTCCTTAGAAAATTTAAATTCTCATCTTGCGGGATCAACTGCTTCTGAGTTAACTGTCTTGCCATGCTTCTCTGTTGCATCTGACAGCTAAGCTAAAATTGTTCTGCAGTACAAAATTATCACACGTAGCTCTAATACTACACAGAAAGAGAAATCTACTTCCTTGTGGATATTCTTGGCAATACTATTAAAAGAAGCCAATTGGCATATAAAGATTAGTTTCGATAATCTTGCAAATTCTGCAATTTGCAATGTTCTGTGAGCTAGAACCCTATAAAAATAAGCTGAAAGATTTTTGTGTAATCCAATCGCTAGTTTCTGAATACAAATGAAGCAACTAAAATATGGACTACTATGTCCATAAATCATGCCAGCACATAGAAAAGATAAAACCAATTTCAAATAAAACAAATTGAGAAATCAAAACCATGAAAACCTAAAGGAAGAAACATGATATTTCACCGGCAACAGATAGTGGTAATAGAAGAGTAACCATAAGGAGAACATAGATACTTCAATTAACACATTCAGAGAGAATTGATATCAGATGAATGATACAACGGAAAGACTTAAAGTGCAATCTCTTTTGATTCTCTAAAAAGTTTGATAATCCAAAGATTCATTGGTTCAAAGATTCGGCCGAGTCCCTGTCCCAGTCGACCCGGCCGAGTCGTCACGAGAATTTCAGCTTCCGTTCCGCGACAGGTCCGCAATATTCCGGAGACGGTAGAATCGGTGGAAACTCATTTAGACTCAGTAGATTCGGGCCGAGTCGACTCCGGGACCCAAAAGAATGGCCTAGTCTACCGAGTCAACCCGTATTGACTCATCAGATATCCATGAACTGAGGCTTTCGCCATGATTTTCAGAGACTTTTAAGGTATAAACAAATTAGCAAATAAAAAGACTTACCCGTAACAAATTGCACGGAAATCAATATTTATGAGAAATTGCACAGAAAGACAGCCGTAACAAATCAATCTTTAACCCAAAATTCTCTCTTTGAAGACTCTTCACGAAACAGCAAGTGGGTGGCAGAGATTCAAGAGAAGGAGAAGGATAACTAAAAGGGCAAAGAAGACGAGGAGGCTTTCGCTTTCATATCATATGCACAGCCGCACGGGTGGTGGCGTTGAAATTTGGAGAGAAGTAGGGAAGAAGAATGAAAGCCAAACTCCCTGGGTTTGTGACAATATCAATTGGCGCTTTTAAGATTTTGAAAATTCTCGCTTGTCTCCCCTCCTCTAAGGTGACTTTTTTTTTTTTACTTTTGCAATCTATTTTAAAATATAATATTAAAAACCTCATTTTGAAAGCATATAATCTCATTCTAAATTTATCCTTTCCTAAGACTCTTAATTGACATAACACGTTAACTTTATCTCTTAACTTTTATACACTTGATTGTTCTGGTTCTTTAATTGAAATTGGAAAAGGAACCATTTAATTGTTTATTTATGTCATTAGTTTAGGCAAGAAATATTAACATATTTAATATTATAAATAATTTACAATACTTGTAAAATAACTTGAAATATTTTTATAATAATGAAAATAACCTTTTGTACTGACTTGAAAACATCACAAAATGATTATATATCTTCTGCATTTCTTTTTTTAATTTTCAAGACATTGATCTAGACAAAAAAAAACTAAAAAAATTCGAAAAAAAGGTAAACAATTTATAAAACTTCTTAAATTAACTTAACACACTTTACTGTAAAGAAAATAACATTTTTGTAGCTTGCAAAAACTTTAAATAAACTTCAAAATATTAATTCTTTATATTTTAAAAAGCACACTGTATTTTGACCCATTAGAATTAAGCCTTCTTGCTTTTGGATTTTGTTTTTAAATTATTAATATATTCAATTTTTTTAAATTATTATGTAAATATTAAAGAGTAGTACTCCTCTTTTATTTGACTTTTTTCATCACCATGTATTGGAGGTTTTGGTCTAGTCTAGGGGTGTCAACGAATCGAGCTGCTCGCGAATAGTTCGCGAGCAGTTCGTTCAAATGCTCGATTCGAGTTCGATTAAATCGAGCTCGAGTCGAGCTCGAACTATTCGAATATTCCAACGAATCGAATTCGAGCATAAAAATGTTATGCTCGATAAGCTCGTGAGCTTTTCGAGTTTAAGGTATATTTAAATATATATAATTTTTATATTTATAAAATTACTTATATATATATATATAGTTGTAAGCTTAATTACACGTTTTACCTATTAAAATTCAAAATATAATAGGGGTATTCTTGTCTTTCCAGATAATTCTTAAAACAAAAAAAGAAATTCACAATTTAGATTCTAATTAGGTCAAGCACTTCCAATCTTGTCCGCCACTCCGCCGTCTTCTTTCTTTCAAGTTCAACGAATCGAGAGCTTCACTGCCTAACCAAACTTGTATCAAGACGGTGTCATCTAATGTGAAGTCTGCTGGTGTATCTGTCGTTGAATCTATCGCCGGTGATTCGTCAGACGATCTCCACAAAAACCAGGTATGGATATTTTTTCTACTGGTGTATCCGTCGCTGGATCTAACACTGGCCCAATTGTTCTAACATCAATCGCTCCAACCTCCAAGCTTCCGAGATTCCATTCTTGAAAATTGATGAATGAGAAAGGTCAAGGTCCTAAGATGGAGTAAATTTTACCATTTCAACGGGTACTAAACTAAATGTGTCTTCTATTTTTTCTTTCCTCCTCCTTTGCTTATATGACAGAAAGGAGACTAAGAATGGTCCACTGGCCCAAGTCATCTCTTTTCTAACAAGCACTAGATTCAGATCTGGATCCAATTTTACCGAGATCATCTGTCCTTGCACCCTTGCTCATGTGGGTTTTGCTCCTTTTGCACTGGGGAGCTGTGTACAATTCCTACAAGGAGCAAGAAACCCGCCCCTGTAAAAATCTTGGATTGGTATTAGATTTTCTTGTGTTGTTTGGTTTCCATTGGATCTCAAAAATGGGATCCCATGAAGGTAACATTATCAATGGGAATGGAGTATTTGGAAGGGATATGGAAATGTCAGTGCTGCCTTTGGGCACTAAGAATAAGTACAAAAGAATGGATTCTCAATTGACTGATGGTGGTGATGATGATTTACATCATCAGGTGGAATTGGAGAATAGGAGAAAGACTACAAGGAAGTTTGTTTTTGCTTGTGCCGTTTTTGCATCTCTCAACAATGTCCTCCTTGGATATGGCAAGATTTCTGTTTTTTCCCATTCATGTGTTTACTTTGTTCAATGATATGCCTTAGCACAATGTTTAATGGTTCGAGCCCGAACTCGAGCTCAAAGATCTCAAGCTCGAGCTCAAACGCAATTCGAGTAATTTCGAACACGAGATCAAACCTCACAAATTTCTTACGAATCGAATTCGAGCATTAAAATTAAGATTCGTCGATCTCGAGCCTTAAGCATATTATCGAGCTCGAACTCAATCAAACTAGTATTCGAGCTCGATTCGATTCGTTGACACCCCTAGTCTAGTCTTCCTCCTTTCTTTATTTTTATATATTAATAATATAAAGAGCTAGCCAAAGAAAGGTTTTGTACTAAAGAGCAATATAACGGTAAATTTTGAATGAAATTATGAATTTTTTAATGAATTTTAAATGTTATAAAATGTTTAAAGTAAAGGAGACAAGTGAAACTTTTTTAAAATTGGTGCCAATTAATCCTATCAAAAACTTCAAGGGAGGTTTCTGAAATTATCCCAAAGTTAAAACTGCATGTCTATAATTTACAAGTACGGGATAATTTGAGTCAAGTAAATGATAAAAGTAATAAACTAACCTGGTCTTTCTTCCCCATATGTTTCATGGGTGCCTCTTTTGGATAATAATTGTTTTGATTCTCATATATATAGAGAGAGCAACAACAAAAAGAGAAAAATAATTATAGCACAATACAAAATCAAGCGTTGATTTAATTACATTTATTCCAAACTATCGATACACCTCGAGATTTAGAAAATAACAGTCATCTCCTCTGATTTAACAAATAGTAGATGGTTTTAAACATTTTCATGAGTGAACAAAAGACTCTCACCTAAAACAAAAGGTTTAGCATCTCAAAAAATAAATAAAGATCAATAAGTTCTATAGAAAGTCCAAACAAACCACTTATCAAATCCTTGTCTTCTTCTTCCAAATTTCCCTATTTGCCAACTTTATCAACACAAGGAGAAACCATTCTATCTTTCATAAATGTATCATGAGATTTTTTCTTTCCTTTTGTCAAAAGGTCATCATTTTATATATGAGAAGTAGTTACAGTAGTACTACCATTGCATATTACCGGCAAAAGTTAGAATATCATTGTGGGTTTCTTTCACAAGCCACATAAGGAAGGATACCTCCCACCTAGAATCATCAATTAGGTTAGTGGCATTTTGGCAAACCATGACTAGTGCGATTGCATTCCCTTCCAATAAATATGAAGGAGCATTGCCAAAAAGACTTACTAAATGTACAATATCATCTATCAAAGCATCTAATTGAGAGATTCCAGTGCATCTATGATTAATTCTAACCACTAAAACTTTACAATCGGAGTGAATAAGAAGGGATGTCCAACATTCCTCCAAGGCTTTAATCATTGTTGTCCTGATTGACTCTACTTTTAGTATGGCAGCATCTTTTTGTCTTGTTGGGATGGCCCAAGCAGTGACAAGGTTACCATTATGGTTTTTGATTAAAATACCTAAACCCCCTTTGTTCCTTGTCTTGTCCATTGCTGCATCAGTAAAGATAAGAGTTGCATGTTGATTCTAGAATTCTTTGATGGTGGCATTCCTCTGTATTTCTAGTTTAGGTCTTTCCTTTTCCATCTTTCCAGTAATCAACAGATGTTTGTACTAGAGCCATTCCTCCATAGCCTTATTAGATATATGTTTGGCATTAGACCTTTCATTGCTGAAGTTACATGCATTCCTAGCCTTCCACAATTGCCCAGAAGATTTACTGTGGCTTCTATTTGGCTAATACCCTCAGTTCTTTCTCTAACTCCCTGCAGTGCTTCCCACCACTTCCAGGAATTCCAAGATTGTTCTTTGATACCATCCCATTTTATTGGAAAGTCTTCTAGGCATCCTTTCTTGCTTTGTAGTGGAACAACAAGTGCTCTAATGTTTCCACATCTTCACAACATTTGCACCAATAATCTCCTTTGCATGTTCTTCTATACACTTCCACATTGGTAGGTTGAATGTTATGAAGATATTTCCACAGGAAATGTTTCACTTTGTGTTTAATGTTCAGATCCCAAACTTGGTGCAGAGTCTTGAATCATCCTTTCTTGTTCTAGTGCTACCCAATATTTGACCCTTCATGCACTTGTCAATTATCCTGATTCTGTCTTGTACATGACCTGACTTGGTGATATAATTTCCATTGGTGTTGTGGTTCCAATTAAACCTGTTATTCCTGTCCTATATGTTAAGGGGAATCATCATGATTTCTTCAGTTCCTTCTTGAGAGAAAATGGATTGAATGAGGTTGGTGTTCCATTTCTTGCCTGTGATCAAGTCACTAACTCTTTCCACACTGCAATTCTAGGGTTTGATCATGGTTCGTCGTCGCGGATCGCAGTTGCATCGTAATCTCGATTGTTCCACATCCATCACGGCGTATCGGTTGAATATCGAGTGATACGCACATTATAGTATATAAAAATTTCCAAAAAATCTAAAAAAATTACTAAAAATAGAAAATACCATAAAAAGCACAATTATCAAATTAAATTTACTAAATACCTACATTATCATATATAGTTACTAATTATTAAATAAAATAATACTGTCATTACCATAAAGGCCTATAGCATTAGTAATAAATGATTTTAGAATCAAGTGTGCGTTCTAATCCTATGTTATATGAGATAAAAAAGTATATATAAGAATAAAATCATCATATCTTACATAATACAATACAAATCTCAATACACAAAGGAAGTAGTGGTGTTTAGTTCAATACAATAAAAATAAATAACTACCTATCAAATAATATTATGAAATGCAAAAACATAAAGAAGCAATCATTTTCACCATATTTTCAATAAATATTTTCATCCTATATTGATCCACAGCAGTGCCCAGATGATTGATCTCAATTTCCTAAAATATAAAAATATCACTGAAATATTAAAATTAATGAATTATGTACAATTCTTAAATTCTATCAAATATAATAAAAATATATATTTATTTTGTTTACATACCATTAGTACCATGTAAAATGACGAGGAGGCTCAAAATCATACTCATGTTCCGACTTATTATAGTAAGAATATGGCATTTGCATTTGATTTTCTTCATGTGAATGGAAAGAAATATCTGAACCATATTGTTTATCTCTTAAGTTTGATGACGCACTAGATGAACCATGATTAAAATGTGGCAATGGTGGTGAATTTGATCCAAATTCGTCACCTCTATGGTAGTAACTGAACCCTCAATATGTAAACTATCATTGGTGCTACTGGATGAACCATAATTGTGTCCATAATAACCAATGCTACGTGAATCAGATGCAGATTCGTCATGATGTACTCCAGTTGGCCGATTATAATATCCACTAGTGATCCAATAGAAACACTAGTGGACCTCTGAAGATGGCTAGGTCCACCATATGATCCGTATTCAGAGTAATAAGTAGTAAAGCCTGCAAATGATCGCTCAAATTCATGTCCTGACCACCTAGTACCCAAACTTTTACCAGAATCATAGACTCCATATGAATGACCTATATTCAAATCTTGCATGTGCTCATGAAATTCAGAATATCCCCTAGAATTTGAGTTGTAAGAAGAGTCGCCTTCACTCGAAAATTCAGTTATTCTACTCAAATATTGCAGCTGTGCTTCTATACCAAGATGATAACCATGATCAGTGTCTTGAATAGTTTAATAGTTATCATCTCCTTGACTCCATGACATGCCACCAATATATTGGCTATCATGATAGTTACTACCACTACCACTACCACAAACATTTTTTGGTTGAGAATGTCTTATGTTCGCCCCTCCATCATCATCATCATTACTGTTGTTATCTTTTTCACTGCCAGAAGTGTTGGTAGAGGAAGATGAGATGGATTTTGATATAACTCTTTTCTTCCCAGTACTCTTGCTTTTGCTCGTAGATACTCGCTCCTTATGCTTCATTTCATACCAGTTATGAATTGGAACAAAGGCATATCATTATCATGACTTTGTTCTCTCCCTTCACTTTCACTAATGGCCTTATCCAACCAACTCAAATCATTTTCATGAATCAATGACGGCTCATTTTTTCGGACCCACTCATCTAATATATCATTTTCATCAAAAATGTGATTTGAATCAATTGGATCATAAAAATCATCAGTGTCATTTTTACACATCAAATTCTTCACTCTAAGTCACATATTGTAGTGCACGAATACCAACTTGCGCAACTTCTCAATTGTTAATCGATTTCGAAATTTTGTATGTATCAAAGACCACGTACTCCAATTTCTTTCATAGCCAGATGATGTACAAGTTTGACTTAGAACTTTAATTGCAATATTTCTTAAATTAGGAGCTTCTTCACCATACATATTGATGAGGAGGTCGATAGAGCTATCCACGTTGAGCAAGTAAAGGTGCCATTCAGGCCTATGACACGAGCTCGCGCGAAGAGACTGAATGAGGCACTACAAACATTGGTTCATGCGGCCTGAGAATCCAGTGGAGAGCCAAAGGCCATCAAGGGCCTCAACGAAGCTAGGCTTGTTATCTTAGTTTCTACCATCTCTGAAGATTAGAAACCCATGATTCAGCTAAGGGGTCCATGACCCATTATTAGTTTAGTAGAGTATAATAAAGAGATCCAACTAACTTGTGGTGTGGACTTTATTCATTGTTAGTTCTTGGGTCAATGGGCTAGGTCATGTGGGCCACATTAGTGAGTCGCTTGGCCCATTAGTCTTTATTACTAGTTTAGTATTTAAAAAAGGAAATTCGGTTGTAATGACTTAGTTTTTGGAGATTAATAAAAATACTTGAGAGTTCTCTCAAAGCTTCATTGAAGCATCCTTGAATATCTTAGAATCATTTTCTTTGGTATTCAATTGGCTTATCAATCTAGGACCGCGCTAGATTGTGGCGTCCTCTATCAATACCGAGATTCGTTGACCACGTGATCAACAGGTTTAGCGTGATTCCGCTACGTTCGTTTGTCTTCAACGTGAGTATCGCCTTCTAGATCCTAGCCTTTTTGTACGGGTTGCATCACAAGGTTGATGCCGTTCGTATCAACTAG